GTGCGTCATTCCCTGGGGGAATCCCGGCGCGGCGGCGCGCGCCCTGCGCCCTCTCGCGCTTCCGTCCGCGTGCCGCGGCCAAGCGCCCTGGGGCTGCTGCACCCCTGTCCTGCTGCTGCAACCCCCTGTCCTGCTGTTGCACCCCTTGTCCCCGTGCCCTGCTGCTGGTCACATCCCCACGAACCTGCCTGCCCCTGCTCCACGCTGTCCTGGCTCTTTCCTCCTCATCTAGAGGTACCCACAGAACAGAGATGCTTCTCATCCCTGGAAGTACTGGAAAGTAAAAAACATTTTGATAGCAAATGGACATGGAAACAAGTCTTAGCTGGACACCAGAAATGCAAAAAAGGAAAAAAGAAAAAAAAAAAAAAGCAGTATTTGCCTTGTTATTGGCATCTGCTCTGTGTTGCTCCTACAGTTATTCCAGACACAACCAACACAACTTCTAGGCACTGTTTTCTAAGGGATCAAATAAGTAAGCCCATCCACAGCTGAGGACTGACATCCTGCTAACAAACACTTACATGATAGAACATAAATACAACAGAAACATAATCACCTATTGATCATCACAGCAGTCAGACCCGAGCCTACCTTAATGCTGCTTCCAAAGTGACTTGCAATGCACTCTCCATAGGTGCAGCACCTGGTTTGCATAATTAGATACTACTTATCTCTCATTAACAAGAAGTGCAGTTACTAGAATACATATATTCAATTTGTATTGTTTGTTTTTTTTCAATAAAAGACTGGCTACCAAACTAATTTAAGAGATTGACTTCCAAGTCTTGGGAGAGCTGCTCTGGCAGCTCCGAGACAGGTGCTGGTTCTGCAGCCAGACCTACCCGTGCAGAGGAAGGGCAGAGCTGGGGACACAGGCTCATGGCTCTGGCTGCAGGATTAGCAGCCTGGCTGGCAAACATGGGACACAGCTGATGAGCTGGTACAAATACAAATCACCCTGATGTGCTCAGCACAGAAGCAGGACAGAAATCTGGCCTTCTCTTAGGTCCCACAAACTTTGGTGGTTTGGATGAAACACAAGAACCCCTTGGGCATGTTTTCATCCTAGGTTTTGAAGAACACCAAAACACTTCCCCGGCTCAGCTAGTTTTACACTGTGCTGTTACTAACCATGTGCAGCTTGGGAATTCCACAGTGCATTGCTTGGATGGAAATGACATTGATACAAGGGGCAAGAAATACTTTCATTGAGAAAGTAGCTGGGTGGTAAATATCAGCTGCAATAGCTATTACAGCAAAAATACATCTGATAGTGCTAGAAGTGAGCACAACTTAACAGGAGATGAGTTTCACACTTTGGTTCCCAACAGAAGGTAACAGTTTTCTGGAAATAGGGCAAATATACTTCACCTAATATTTAATTTGAACATGGAAATGTTTCAGAATTTATGAGATTGCAATAAAAAGAGGTTAAAAAAACCCTGTAAGAATCCAGAAAGCATATATAGGGCTGAAAAATTAAGTTAGGTATTGGGTTGGAAGGGACCTCAAGGATCACCTGGTCCAACCTTTTTAGATAATATAGTTTATATGAGATGGTTCTGCACCCTGTCAAGCTGAGACTTAGAAGTGTCAAATGTGGGACAATCCACCACTTCCTTTGGGAGACTGTTCCAATGTTTAATTTACCTCGTGTCCAATCAGAATCTCCCCAGAAGCAACTTGTGCCCATTACCCCTTGTCTATTCCACATGACTCCTTGTAAACAGGGAGTCTCCATCTTCTTGGTACCCACCCTTTAAGTACTGGAACACTGTAATAAGGTCTCCCAAAGCCTTCTTTTCTCAAGGCTGAACAAACCCAGTTTTCTCAGCCTCTCCTCATATGGCAGATCCTCCAGCCCTCTGATCATCCTTGTGGCCTTTCTCTGGACCCTCTCCAGCCTGTCCCCATCCTTTTTATAAAGTGGGGTCCAAAACACTGCTCTGTGTCTGCATAAATCTTTGCAAAGCACTGTGTGTACCCAGCACAGTCTAATTCACAATGAACTCTTTTCATGCTTTTAAACACAGTCATTTAATTCTGCTTATTTTTAATGATAAACATCTAGTTCCCAAGCTGGCTATATTAAGTGAATGACACTTATTCAACACCCATGCTCAGAAGCAGGGGAAGGCATTTCCCTTTGAATGTCAGTGGTGGTGTGCCTGGAGAGCCTGCATGCCTGGGCTCCTCCAGCCCATAATGTGTAATAGTCATCTCTGAGAAAGTCAGAACCCACATTTTCATCTTGAGGAGATCCAGCAGAGTAAAAAGGAATCTGGACTTTTAAATTATGCACAAAACTTAGAAGTGGTGACATTTCTGTCATAAAATTCTCATGGACAGGTTACCTTTAGAAGACCTAACTTGAAAAGATTTAAGAAAAATTCCCTTTCTCAAGATTTTTCATCATTTTTTTCAATGCATGTATTGTCTGATGGTGTTGTGTTTGGTTAGTAACACCTACCAGCTCATGCACACAAGTGCTAACATCAAGGATTATTTTGAGGACATTATCTGGCTGCAAATAGTTGCTGCACTTGATCATCCTGATATCGATCACTAGTGTTGAGCTTCAGGAAAACATTAAAGGACAAGCTCCATTTCAGTGCTGAGGAGGTTTACTGACTTGACATTCAAGACTGGTGCCAGAGTCTCAGCTCTGATGCCACACAAGAGAGTCTGTTGCCCCCATAGGGCAGCTGGTAACTCCCACATGTGTTTCACTTGCCCACCGCCTGGGTGATGCTGGGTGCCAGCACCGAACTGGAATCAAATTGATGCAGAAAAGTATAAAGACTAAAATGTCTAAAAAGAGAACATGGTCCTTACTCTAGAAATGCCACAGAATACAACTTTCCCTTACCCCCATTCTGAAAACATTATTGTGGCTTCAAAAAAGAACTCTAACGAGAAGCCAGTGAATCTGGAAAAGATTAGAAGTTTTAATGAAATAGGCACTGCCCTGACTGCTTTCTAACTGGTTAAAACCAACAGCAAAGGGGGAAAAAAGCATTACTCCTTTTCTCTTATTTACAGAATATATCTAGAATTCATTTTATTAGCCACATATTTGTCCTCTGTTGATCAGAATAATTGCATTAATTAACTAATGCCTGAAAGCCACCTAAACAAGGCTTTAATACCCTTAATAAGACATCATACTTTTAGTTAGAAAACCACACAGTCTGGTATTTCTTAGAAAGATGAAAACAAAAAACAAATGGTATAAAATTAAGGAAACTTTAAAAATTCAATGCTATTTTTGCTGTATCTACTTTAAAAAAATAAACAGACTATTTATATAATCTTAAGGTTTTCTACTAAAATGTGAGTGGTTCTATTCTGCCTTCAGTTACACTTGGCCAATGTAGAATTCTACTTACAGAAAATAAAAAATGGATTCAGGAATTTCTTCTTGTGAAATGTAGGGAGAAGCAAAATGGAATGAATCAAACAAAGGCAGAAGCTTATGACTCAAATATGATGAAATTACTTCAATTATTAGTATAATTTTAGCTTTCTGTCACTCCCTTTCTCTGCACCTAACACAACAACTTCCTTCTTTCCTCACTTTTGTTGGCCTTAGAGGAGTGTATCTGTTCAAAAAACATACTTATCAACACGTCCATCATGTCCATCTAAAATACAACTGGAGTAAAAAGTACAGTAACAAAGTCATCAATTCTTTCCCTCTCCCTTATTGTTCTGTGGGTTTTTTTAAGAAAAAAATAGCATGTGGCTCTTTTACTCTGGATCTGATTAAGAGAAGCCTCAGACGTAAGAGATACGCAGAATTCAGAATTGAATTTTTCTCCAACTGCAAACCAAAATGTATGAATAATGTTATTTGCAAGACTGGTATAAATCTGGAAGAAGTCCACAAGGACTTGGTAACCAAGGATTTTTGCCTCTTGCGTTCCTGTGACTGAATTCAGTTAAGCTATGTAGGTTCACATCAACAAAAGTACAAGGAATGTATTTTTTTTCCTCAGAGGGAGATTTTTTTAAACATTACACAAGCTTTCAAGATCAAAACTTTATGTTACGATGAGCAACCTGATCTAACATCAACATTAGCCCTGCTTTGAGCAGAGAGTTGGACCGGATTCCTGCCTGAGGTCCCTTCCAGCCTAAATTGTTCCATTCTGTAATTCTACAGTTATTTAAAACAGGGCTCCATTCATGAGTAAGACAGTTGAACACAGTAGAATAAATCAATATTGTTGTTAATCCTGTGCCTTGATAAGGAAAGTGATCTGAATTTGCCTTTAAGAAAATAAACCTACATGTTCATAAACAATGACACTGAAGATGTAATTATATAAAATTCAGCAATTTAGTACTGCTTTAGTTAGAAACATCAAGGAAGTGATAATGATCTCTGATAACACAAGATGAAAAGAACATCTGTACGGGTCAAACTAAAGATTGTTCACCTCCTTACTCTGCCAGACAGTGGCCAGTATGGATGCCTAGTGAAGAGCATTTACCTCCTCATGTCTGGAGGTGCCTTTTATTGCTAATTTCAAGATTGCAGTGGGAGATACCAAAGTTGACATGTTTTAAAATTAAAATAACTTTAATCTATTTGCTTTAAATAATTGCTCTCAAGCCCCACTTCTGTAGACATACACACTCAAGAAAACACTGAATATCTGAGGAGCCCTTTAGCAAGAAAAATCACAGCACAGGTGCACCAAAACTACACAGGTGCATGAAGTTAGACTAGATATTTGCTGGGTCAGAGAATACAGCTGCATACCTCAATAAACTAGAGCAAGTTCAGCAGAGATGGTGGGGGGCTGGAACCCAGGCCTCTAATGAGAGGCTGGGGGAGCAGCCTGATTACAGCAGACTTTGGGGGACCTAGCAAGAGCCCCCAATGTCTATGAGGAAGTCCTCAAGGTGACAAAGCTGGGCTCTTCACAGTGGTGCCTGGAGGAAAGACAACAACAACAGAAATGCAAACAAGGGAGTTTTAGACTAGGTATATGGAAAACATTTCCCTCCAGTGGCCAACGAAGCATGGGAGGCCTTCACAAGCAGTCTGCATAAGACCCTGCATTTGGCTTTATCAGTGGACTCACTTGGAGCAGCAGGTTGGCCAAGTGTCCTCCTGAGGTCCATCCTAACTTGAATTATCCCACAATTGTACGACTCTCAGTTGGCTACTATCCAGTTTTGAAAGCATGTATGGGATGTTTTGTTTCTGGCCTGATCATTTGGTGTGTGAATTGCTTTAAAATAAATAGGTCAGTGTGTGGGTTCAGACCCCGCCTTGCTTTTTACAATGGCACATGCACACTAAAGCACTTTAGTCCTTTGCATCTGCCAGATACTCCTGCAATGGTTTACCTGTACAACAGTATGGGATATTGTATATATTTTAACCAAAATCAAAGGCACTGCTATTTCAGAGTGAACTGACGCAGTAAGTTTGTCTCCAGTTTCACTTACCCTTTGTTTACCCAAGGTGGTTGTACCAAAGTCCAAATAATGACACAATCAGGAAACAAAAGTGAAGGCAGACACACCCTCTATAGACTGTTTTTCCAGTAATACTTTCTCTTAGCTCATATGCCTCTGCCACGCAAACGGGCAGATTGTCTTTCCTGTGAAATACAGAGTTTTATTGAAGGTACACACTGGATGTTGTTTGAAAACATAACCTGGAAACCTTACAAACAAAGCTCTTATTCGCCACTGATTTCCACAATCTTGTATTCTGCCAGGATTTGCTATGTGCTCTGGAAAAATCCATACTTTCAGTCACACTCTCATCACTTTTGCACCATTACAAATTCAGAGTAACTGCTGGTTTGCCACCACCGAACTTTCTGCCTGGAGCCGACATCTTTTGGTGCGGGAGCCGCAGGCACGGCCCCCGCCCCGCTTTCCCCGCTCCCCCCGGAGCCGCAGGGAAGGCAGCTGCTCTTGGCGGGGTCTCGCCCCTCCCTCCTTCCCGGGGAGCGGACACTGCTATCAAATATCTCCGAGGAAGCGACGAGGAGGAGTTTGTCCCGGCGGCTGGATGCTGCCCCCCCGCGTTCCCATGGTGACGGCGTCCTGGCAACCGCTCCCGCTCCCGCAGCGCGGCCTGCGGCGGCGCCAGCCCCGCTCAGCTCCGCTCCGCGCAGCCGGGCCCCACGCCGCGGACCGACGGGCTTGGCTCAGGGGTGCTGCAGCGGGCGCAGCGCGTTGAAGAGCGGGGCTGCGCGGGCGCGGGGCTGCGGGAGCGCGGGGCAGCCCCGTCCTGCCCGGATCCGGCACCGGTGAGTGAGCGCAGCGTCCTGCGCCCGCCGCAGCGTCTGTCCCAGCTCTGTCCCTCCGTGTTGCATGGCCATCGAGTGGTGTCCGCGCTGTGGTGTCCTGTCAGCTGTTGCACACCCCGTGTTTCACGGCCGTCGCCGCGTTTACCGATGACCCTCCCGCCGAGGAGCGCTGCGGCCCCGCCGCGGGGCCGGGCCCGGCAGAGCTGAGGGCCGGGCGGAGCGCGGGCTGGGACGGGGCATCCAGACGGAATCCCACAGGCTTCGTAGCTGCATTAGCACAGTCAAGCACCTGAGCTGATCAGAACTGTTTCTCAAGAGGACCCTTCGGCCCGTCCCGGAGCCTGGCACGGCTTCCCCTCTCCCCGTGGGAAGCGTCCCCGCACCCCACAGCACGCTGCATGCGTGGCCACAACATGTCACAGCAGCGCAGAGAGGAGGTTCTGCAAGGGTCTCTTTCATGTGACTCGCTAGTGCAGTCGGGTTTTGACCTGTCTTTCCGCTGAGTTGTGACACAGGGACTTTCTCACTTACTTCAAAACCTTGCCCGAAAGAGCTTCGGAGGAACTCCGGGATCTTGCGGCTCCCGGGGTGGTGCTGTCATATGCTCCCTGTATAGCAACCAAAGCGGCTTCTATTTTAAGAAGAAAAGGGTGATTAAAGTGTTTGCCTAGGCAGGTATTTCAGTCTGCCTTTATTGCCATGTGACTTGTGGCAAGTCACATAGCCCTCCCCGTGCTTCACTTCCCTACCAGCAGCATAAGGAAAATTATAGTTTCAGGGACAATAATGCTTTCCCACACCACAGACATATTATAAGAATCGATGTGAAAAACACTCTGGCATTACAGCAAGTATTAGACATAGGCTAAGAATGGAAGATGGAGAACTGAACACTATAGATGTGATTACCCTTCAAAACAGGAGAAATGGAGAACCCACAGCAAATAAACATGCAAGGAAGGCATCTGCTGACGTGAGGAAGGAATGCCACAGTACAAATAGGAAGGCGTGAACTTTGCATTGCCAGAAGTGTCTCTTCAGCATGTCCCGTGTATGATCTTTTTCCGAGCTTTTACATGTCTGATGTCAGTGACTTAAATAAATTATAAAGAATACCTCATGTTTGTATGGAAAAGCTTCCTTATGTATCAGGTGAACTGTTGCTTTTGTCAATCAGGCATACCATTTACAACTGGGAAAAATCTTCACCTCATTCATGTAACAAGTATATTTGGAATATTCAGTAAATTAAATCAATCAACCAAAATTTACTGGGTTAATATATCAATATTTCAATTCCTATAGAAGTATCAAGCAAGGGACAACATAATTAAAAAAAAAAAAAAATTAAAAAAAAAATCTGAAGCCAGCATTTCAACCAGTATCTAAATTGATCCCAGTTTACTACCTTTAAAATTGGAGCTATACAAAATTACACTCCTCTCAACCTAGGCATCAGAACATCTTGTTTATTTTATATTTATTAGTCTAAATTGGTATTATATATGTTCATAGAGAGGGACTTGGACATCAGTTCTACCACCTATCTCTTACTGTTTATTGCAAATAGCTCCAAACTGCAGAAAAGTTTTGTACAACTGCTGAACAAGATCTTAAGGCATCCTTTCATGATGTTGGATCAGATGAAGAAATCTCCTAACTGATGATGAGCTGTTCACTGTGTACCAAGTGAGGTGCTTACATTAGCAATAACAAATGAATAAGAGCTCCATCTGTGTAACTTGTTTCATGGGCACAGTTTCTCCAGATATTTGCATTTAGCTGCAACCTAATGGTAGGCTGGCAGAAAAAGTAAAAACTTCAAGCAGTCCTATGCTTACTCTGCTGCAAACTTGTTTTTATGATAGATAATAAATAGATACTAAAAGCCGTAAGACTGAAAGACTTGAGGATTTTTTGTCTGGCTGTTTTTATAAGGTGTCGTTCACTAGGACTCTGCTAGATGTACAGACTTTAATATTTGTTCTTCATTTTTCTAGGTAGCATCCAGTGCTTTGCTGCTTTGAAACACATAGCTCTTCTTAAATCAGTGAGACATTCCTGTGTTTATAGTTTAATTGTGTTTAAATGCTTCACTGCATCAAGATCGTTAAAATGTGCTCTGGCCCACAGGACTAAGAATGAATGAGTTCAGATCTACTGAGAACCAGGTGCCTGGTTATTGTACTCCCTGGTGGTACAGCTAGTGGGGAGGCCCTGCAGAGCTGGGGCATTGTTTAAAAAACAACCAGGAAACAACAAGCATGTGGGACAGACTGCAGGGCTGGGCATTGTGTCTGCACAGGATGTTGAATGCAAAGTCATCATAATGATACCCAGCTCTTATACTGTGCTTTTTGCAGATAGGCATATAAGAACTTAAAGAAGGAGGTAGGTATCAATGATCTCTGTCTTCCATGCAGAGAAAAGGAGTCAGTAGACACAGAACTTGTCCAAGTTATCAGGATCTGAGATTGAGAAAGGATTTAAAAACAGACCTTCTGAATTCTACTCTAGTGTCATTGCTGCTCAGCAACCCAGCTTCTCTTAAAACTATTTTTTTTTCTAATTTGTAGTTTCTGAAGCACTGTGCTATAAATGGAACACACATACTGTGACAATGTTCGCTCACGGCTTTCAGGCAGTGCTTTCATACAATTCTAAAGCACAAACATGCCTTGCATTTTGAGATCTTGGGGGATAGTCCTACCACTCCTTTACAATAAATATATGACTACTTCATTTCAATAACCCTATTTATCTCTTTGTGTTTGTACCCGATTTCATCAGCAATTGCGAAATTCTTTTCATGCATCATCCTTTAGTTTTCAAAGAGGATTTAAGATTCCCAAGGAATTCAGGTTCAGGCCACACTCATTCTCTTTATAGTTAAAAATGGTCTTTTGCTTTATGTAGAATGGAATAGCTGGAGTTGAATTGATGTAATCTCTGTCAGTGGACAATGCTACTGGGCCAGGTGCTGGTCCCACTTACAGTAAGACATCTAAAATGTCTTTCTGAAACTATTTAATAGACCTACCCTGCTGCAACGTCTGTCACAATCTGGCTGGCTATGTCTAAAAATTGAAAAAAGAATCTATATTCTTAACACAGAAGAATATACTTGGAACATCCAGTGTGGTCATTTAGATTTGAAGATAAACTAATAAAAGCCTCAGTTTTGCTAAACTATGCTGATGTCTAACATTTTGAGGTTTCTGACTGCCAATGCTTTTACCTAAAAAACACCCCTAATAATCTGCTGTCAGGAAACATTTTTATTTCATTCTCCAGCCTAGTACTAATCTAGGAAAGCTTAATACTTTCCTAAGCCTTATGATAATCCTGCATACCTTACATTTTTATTCATTTATTGATGATGTCTGAGACCAGCAGACATATCGCGGACAAAAGGTTTGTTTGCCTCTGTCCTGCCAAACCAGTTCTGTGGGTCAAGAGCAGATTTCCATTTCAAGGCTGTCAACCTTGTCTTTTTCAAGAGTATAATTTTCACTGTAAAAAGCTTTGTACCCATTTTTAGTTTGAATTCTTTTGTTCTTTTGTATTGATTTTTATTTGCATTTATTTCATAAGCAATATTTGAACTCCAAGATAGAGCTGTCAGCATAATCTTAAACTTTACTTAACAATTCACTTAAAGCAGAAGCATTAAGACATTTCCGTGCCAGATATAAACTATTCAATAATTCAATGTGTACTTTTTCAACAGACTTAAATTATTGACCAGAAAATGGCCCAGCGAAGCCCAATCTTCCCAACTCTTGCCCATTCTGAAAGGTACAGTTTGGAATGTAAAAAATAAAATCTTCATATTGCAGAGTATGATGTGTCTCTCAGCTCCCTATATGTAGTAATGCTGTGACTTGGGACTTTGGCATTGGTATGCAAAGCAAGGTGAAATGACATAGACTTCTTTAGGTGGCCCAAATCACAAATACTTACTCAGCTTTTTCTTACACCTTTCCCAAATAAATTAATTATCTTAAATTGTAACTGAGTAGAAGTCCAGGAATATTATACTACAACCAGTCTTCTAATAGTATGGAGAAAGTGTGAAAACTCAGAGCCAGAAGTGACCTTTGTTGTAGTCCTCATCAATATCATCACAGTAAAGGAAAACGTTAATTTGGCTCGTTAACAGGAAAATACACAGAGAATACACAGTAAATAACAGAGTCCTGAGCAAATGATCTCCTCTTTCTAAGTGGGGTTGAACTTGTATCTTCCACTTATGCTTCTGGAAATTTTCTTTATTCTTCAAAGAATATAGCAGCAGGAAAAAATTGTATGTATTAGTAGCCTAATTTTTTCACTTTGAGCACCCACGAGCTCTATTGCTTTCCATGGAAGCTATGCAGTGCAAAGCTCTCTTGAAGAATCTATTATTCCAGGTACCCAAATGTAAGCTATTTTGGGGGAAAATTTTACTTTTAAGACTATGAGATGCTTGCCCTAATTTTGGCTTCTCCTCATTTTCCACGCCTATATATACTCCTGTCCAGTTCATGGGAGAACAAGCTTCTATATGGTACCAAATGATAGCTACAGAGACTGAGAAAAGGAATGGACACAAGCTACTCCTTTTGAATCTCGGGCTGTTTCCATTTAATTTTCAGTATCTAGCTTCTACAGTTATTGCTTTGATTACACCCAAAAACTGTAGAGACAAATAGCATTGCTTCTAAAACTCAGTAGAAGGGTTTAAATTTGGACTCTTCATCAAAATATAGTTCTGAATTGTAACTACTTTTATAACGCTAATGTCATTTTCTTAAGATCCTATGCTTTTGTAAGCTTCCTCAAAGAGGAAGAAAAAGAGCCTGACCTGCCTTTGTACAAGATACAGTAGCCTCACAGCACCCACTTATTTGTAGTAGTGGGCCCTCTCTCTGTGAGTATTTTGGTGCTTCTCCTCACTGTAGCTACAGAGATAGTATTGCACTGTCTCCTGTGGAAAAACATGACAGACTTTTGTGTGAGAACTTCACAATATCTGGATATTCTTCTTCACCAGACGGGTTCGAAACATACCGCTGCACAGCCAGGCGCTGACAGCGGTCCCACTGGCATCTGCGAGCCTGGTGGATCAGCTGGAAGACAGAATCCTAAGCCATGAGAAAACAACGGCAGCTCTTGTGGAACACGCTTTCCGCATTAAGGAGGACATTGTTTCCACCCTGCACAGAATGCAGAACAAAGGGGGGGGCGACCGGCTGGCTCGGCAGCTCTTGGAAGAACATATCCGAAACATAACAGCTATAGTGAGGCAGCTTAATCGGGACATTGAGGTATGTTAAGAATTTTTCACAGGACTAACCTCATCTCAGCTGCTTATTCCTTCTAGTTTAATAAGAAGGTTGACCACAGGATAATTAAAGGTCAGACAAGGTCTGAAGATCCTGTAAGCTTGTAAATTGTTTTTATAACTTGAAAAACTGTTTGCAGATTACATAATTCTTTCAGTGGCTACAAAAAGCACACAGGATATTAGCATATAAACACAGAAACCTTTGTGGTACTAATACACTTACTTTCAAAAGCTGCACTAGAAAACCTTGCAAAAATGAATTAATGCAACACTAATACCCAGCTCAACTTCAGTCCAAAGGCTGTGCCATATAAACACTAGGAAATGCCTTAGCTCCATAATAAACTTTCTTTCACTTCTAACTTACTGATGACACACAGTAGCCAAACCCAACCGTTCATTTTTATGACCTAATCACATGCAGACACATGACTTCACGTCTGACCTCTGCTGCAATGAGCAACAGGGGTGTGGTGGGGAAAATGAAAGGACAACAATTAATATTTACATCTCCACTCCATTGTCAAGTTATACCTTATACGTATTATGGTATGTATGTGCAGATTGTAGACCAAGAATAAGAAATAGTACATCACCTAAAAGGTATTTGGTTTAGTACAATACAAGCAAAGCTTTTAATAATTATAAAATCCTATCTGGTGTTACTGAAATACTGGAAAATAACGAGTGACATTTAAAGTGTACATTAAATGTGTCATACTGAGTTTATATTTGCATATGAATGCTTTCTAGATGCTGCAGGAACAGATACGTGTCAGAGACAATCTCAGCTATGGAACAAATTCTACCCTGAAGAGCCTGGAAATGCGGCAACTTTCTGGTTTAGGAGATCTGAGAGGAAGAGTTGCAAGGTAAAAATCAACATAGAAGTGTATTTTGGGGACTAGCTACGGGTGTTTTAATCTTGAAATATGAATGTTAATGATAACGGGCTGAACTCAACTTTGGCAAAATTCCCAGGATAATTTTGCTCAGTGTTTTCAAGAAAACAAATAATAATCCTTTGCAGTCCAGTACTACATATTAAACTTTACAATATTAACCCTTAATTCCTAAAATAAGTTTTTAATAAATTACATCAGATTTCTTAGGAATTGGTGTTTGGTACAGCTTTTAAAAGTACTATGGCTAGACTGGTCTATCTTTGAAACAAATTGACACAATTATAAAGGGAGCATGGAACAATCTGTACTTGTAAGGAACAGAATAGTTGCATATTTTTCCAAGTATTTTAGAAGTAAAAATCTGTCCATCCAGTTATTTGGTAGCCATATTAAAAACTGCACAGGCTACCTGACATGAGTAACAGAAAAACATGAAATAACAGAGATTTTTACAGGCTACTTTGAACTCCAGGTTAACAATTGTGCAACTAGACAAACTTCAGGTTGTGCCATCAATGGCACATTTACAAACCCCAGCACAACATTTGCTTAAGTGTCTGTAAAATCAAACACAAAAGACCTGTATAGCTGTAGAAAAAGGAACTAATGTAGCCTAAAGTTGCTTGGATGATAACTTCAGTGGAATTAATACTTGCCATAAATTTGACCTAATGTCTATACTGCACAGATCATTTTTCTTTTTCTCTTTTGTACTTCAACTGATTTAATGATAACCTTCAACAGCCTACAAAAAAAATAAGGGAGGGATTTCACTTGCATTAAAGTTTCCTCATAAATTGACCATTTGAAGTTTCCACTGTACCTCTCCTAGCCCATTTTATAAAGAATACTCTGGAGAGGTTTTACATACTTTTAAATTCTGTACTATCGTTTAGTAAACAGGAAAGAACTGGGCAAGTTTATTTTGTAAAATCAAGAAACTGAAATATATAGAGAAATAAATACACTGAGAAATCCCTGACAAATTTGCATGCTCCATTCTTCCTGCTTCTTTATATAAGAAGTCTACCTTGGGATCATATTGCATCCTGAGAGAGGCCCATATTAGGAGCAGCACAGTTATTTGCACCTTGTGAAGCACAGTCTATTGTCTTTGCTTTCAGTAACAGAACACAAGTGAATAAACACATGCCAGCATGGGCTTCACAATGGGGCCCGTGTCTGTCCAGTCCACTACTTGGGGATTGGTGGTGGACTAGTGCAGTCTGTGACAGGATTTCTTTCTGTATTTACTGAGGGCAATGCCCTTGTACTGTGCCTGGGTTGCAATTTATCTGATAATTCTATGAGATTATACCACTATGCCTTATGTCAGACTGTGCAACAAATGTTGGAGATTTCTATTCACCATCATAAGAGACCATAAGTCTTTTAACTGTTATCTTCTATTCAACATTATGCTCTCTACCTAAAAAATTTCCCTGAATAAGGAAGAAAATAAACTTCCCTTTATAAGAAATTAAGTTAAAGCAATGTTCCATGTGTCCTGGTTTGAGAGTACAGGGATAACAATTTCCTATAGCCATACTAACTTGAGACTGGGACATGCCATGGGAGAGAGCTATTTGCCTTTATTTACAGATACATTCTACTTTGAAAATTAGTGTTACTGCAAATAATGATTAAAGCAGCATGTGGAGGTGATGGTCAAGAAGGCACTTTATTATGCTGTTGGCACTATACTGACACTTACCAGAAACTTTCCCTGGGATAACCACTTTCTGATTACTCTAGCTAATGTTCTTTGTATGAAATAAGCTGAACTCACCTAATGGAACTTCACTTTACATCTAGTCCTGCTTGCTTTCTGGTAAGTTCGAAGAATGAAATCTTAGAAACATGATCAGGTTACTGTGAGATACCAACTTACTGTGGCTCAGCTCTGAGCCGCAGGCCAAGTCCAGAGCCTGGCTCAGGCTGCAGTGACTGCTGGCTGATTTACCTCCAAGCACAGCACATTTGCTCTAGGTTCCAAGTGTGCAGATGGACAATTAAGGTCAATCAGTTTATATATGCGACACCTAAGTCTGAACCTTTCGGTCCTTTTACTCTGTATCTCAGGATTCTGGCCAAATTTCAGTTCCAGTAATTACAAGCATACTAAACATCCTATTCAACTTCAATATTGGAGAGAGTGGTGTTTATTTCCTAACACCAACTGTTCTGTAACATGCCAATACATCACTGAACAACTGTCACATTATTTCTTGAGGGTTGCTGCTTTTAATGATGAGAATGGGGATCCCTACATGCACATACAGTTTTGAAGCACAGCTCTGGAGGAGTAAGCCTTGGGTTGATCTCACAATTGGCCTCACCTGCATCACAGAATCAACTAATAGCCCTAGAAAAAGAAGGCTGAATACACGTTACAGCTCTTAGTCTCTGGGCCATTTCTCATTATGCATAATTTACTGATGAATTTGTAAAGCACCATTACAGTGTTCACCTGGAATGATGCTGTACATTTTCCTAAGAATCAGCATTTTCATTAACTTGAAGAAAAATATTACCTATATTCAATTCAGTGACACATTCAGCAGAGAATTAGATAGATGCTGATACATCGATTACTCCAGCCCTCTGTACCTGATGTTGGCTATTTTCTACAACACATATTTACCAATTCTATTTCTAGTGACATTAGATCATAAAACTCATGAGCAATGCCTTATAATTTATTTACATAATAACTTGTGGACTATGCTAATTTGTCTGCAAAGTTTGAATACAGCAGCCTGGTCAGAACGATAGCAGCAGCTGTCTCTAGAAGCTTCCTGATAGCTGAAACACCCAGAGAAATGGCAGCTATGCATGTTCAAATCTGGCCTCCTTTGCATATATAGATGATTTCTTATATAGATCTGATTCATTTCAGACACACTGGACTCATTACATGTAGGCAGATTTTCCTACACTGCACAGAAAATGAGTCTGATGCATCTGGGATGTGCTGGATTTCTGAACTTCATCACTACAACAAATCTGCTGCACTCTGGCTACTTGCCATCTACCAGGCACACACAATGAGATCTGGGCTCCCTGATCCAGGCTATTCCGAATCTACCACCTCTGCTGTTCTTGCCCAGTGGATCACCTGGATGTACCAACTTGCTTTTCACTACTTACTTTTTAGCTATTTGTTTTCCACTGAAACACTGGCACTTTGAAACATCTCCCATTATAATAAAACAGGAACATTAAACATCTGTATGTACCATTACAGCATATTTATACAGCACTCTGTTGCAGAACATTGGTGTAATTCTCAGTTTTATCTAGGCCCTGGTGATACTGAATAGAGCAACCATTTGTTTCCATTTCTTAGAAATCAAAGACAACAAAAATATTCTTCAATGTGCCAGAAAAATAATTTCTGCTTTTGCTCACTATGACTTGGAAGGCAGTTGTTTGATAATTTCACTGTTTATATTAAACATTACTGGTTTCTATAATTATATTGTATTCTGAAACTGAGAATAAGTCTTGGCACTATGACATCTCTCAATTTATTCTTCATTTACAAATTTCACATCACTACACAGCTTGCCAATCTTAACTCCCAGAAAATATCCTCCACAATTAAACAGCAGTAAAAGGAACACATTTTAGTGCATCTTTGCTCCAAATTTCAACAGTGCATGTGTGCAACTGCACATGAAAACCAGACCAGGTTGTTTGTATGGACAGTTCTAGCATTTCAGACGTGAAACAGAATTTATTGTGCACATCTTTGTATAAAATGTTTTTATATACAGCTCTTGTATTTGTAAATTAGTATTCTTTCTAGAAATCTTAATCTAGTTCTCATTTTTTCCCTTGTGCTTTTAAGATGACCAAACCTTTAAGGTTGTTTTCAAATTCTGTCTTTATATCCATGAAGACATCATATAGACAGGAATTTAAATTCAGTGTTCAGAAACATGTAGTTCCATTATTAAGAAGAATTCCACTGTCATCTATAAATATCAAAGCAGAACTTTCAGAGATATGGGAAATTCAAGGGGAATTGTAGTGTGCCTTTTTTTTCCCCTTCTCTCCAGGGAAAAATTCCAAACTATAACATGCCCTTTTGCTGATTTTCTTCTGACCCATCATGCAGTAGAAACTTGAATCAAAAGTGTTACAAAGCTCATGGTTTTCCATATGCTCATCTTATTATTACCCTCTGTGTGCCCCTTCCCCCATTTGAAAACTAGTGGAAGTATGGACTAAAGTTATTTAATTCTTGTACTTTTTTAAATTAAAAATGTTATATTCTCATAACCAATATCAGAATCTCATTCTTTGACCGCAGCACACTAATGTTTGCTTGCAGGTCAAAACTAATCAGGTGTTTGTGAGTGTGTAAAATATATATAGCAAAGAGACTTCTCTTTGACCATTTCAACATATGGAATATTGTTTAGAAAAAAACCAACACATTCCACAGCTAGAGACAATGGAATTTAAACTTCAGTTTAAAAGGGTGCCAATTAAAGTATCCTTGTAGAAAACCAAAATAATCGGATTAACACACAGGCTAATACTAAATTAACATAGTCAGAATTCTGATGTTTCAGTTTCCATGCAACTAGATGACCCCTTTGATCATGTAAGGGAGATCCACAAAGGAGAGAGATGCACTGTGATTAAACTCAAAACACTAATTTGCCTCAGAGAAACAATTACAGATGCCTGCTGTTTACATTTGCTATAGTAGTTTCAAAGTTGGTGCTCTTTATATGTTCTGTCATGCCTCAGAGAAACAAAACTAACAATTTTTTTGAGATCATAAACTTTTGGTAACTAGATGCAAGATGATTTAATTCCTCTGACTCTCTCAGATAACAGCACAGAGTGATGTGGCCTTTCTCATCTTTATAAACAAACTGCCAGTTTGTAAGGCCTACAAGTACAGTTCACTGCTATGTAAACCTTAGCTGGTCTTCCTACAAATATTACCAATTGCTCTCACAATGCTGAACC